GTCGCCCCGCCCGCCAGGCGCTCGCCAACGAGCCCCGCCTCCAGGCCTGGCTCCAGAGGGGGGCCCCGGTGACCCGCGTCCGGGCAAGGGAAACTTCGATCCATTAATTTTACTCGTCATAAGGGGTCTTTGAGCCGTGCTTTGTCTGGTCCCTCACCTAGAACCTGTTTGCCATGGGTGACCCTGCCAGGGGCATAAAGCCCCGGACAACTTAGCTCCTAGGATCATTGGGACACACAAACCCCTCCACCATGGTAAGGTGACGGCTCATGGAGGGGAATGACAAACATGTATCAAATAAATCTGCTCACCTGCAATTTATAATGGCGCATTGTAGTCACCTTCGTGCACGAAAGTTCGTTCAATCTCAGCTGTTAGTCAGTTATTAGTTCGTCAGTTATTTGCTGTTGTATCGCCGATTTTCAAAATGCAAATGATCTGTTTACTTTATTTTCAAAGAATAGTTTGTTTTGTTATTGTTTGGTTGGTGTCTTATATGAAACTGCGACATTGCACAATTTATTGGACAGACTTGATCACACAGCGTAATTTGGGTGGCATTTTATTTCGTATTTTTAAATCATCTTTTTATTTTGGACAATATCTGTAAATTTAGTTTCCTGCTCTTAATTGGGAATACATACTTGATGGTTTTAAATGCTGCTGAAATTAAGTGCTGCTTGACCAGCCTATATTGTGTATGTATGTGACGTCACTGAAGGCCTAAGGTTGAAATGCACGGCCCGCCACTGGTCACAGATCATTTTCTTGAAAAGAAACGGAGAGTAGAATTCACGTATAAATAAACAGACCCATTTTATGATGTCGGCCAAAATTGAGCTTCCCCTCTTTGACAGACCAGCATCTGCCACTGATTTTGACCATATTAAAAATGGCATGTTTGACACCCATTCGATTAAGAAGTTTGCAGTCCTTTGTGGCCTCCCAGTAGCACTGATAAAAAAAATTGTAGCCCCCTACAGCATTGAAATTGCCCATCACTGCACCACGCGTAATAGTACAGTACTGTGCGGCAACTTCTTTATCAGGCAAATCATTGAACACCACAGACGAAGTTGGGGTCCTTTCATAACAACAATATGGCTGCGCTCGTTAAAGGCAGACACCGTTGGAAACGAATCAATTGGTGTCATATTTTGACCAGAAATTTGACAGGTACCACTTAATAGTGTCGAGATTACCGGAGTAACTATGCAGTGCGCATATATGAACATGTTTTATGTTATTTCTTTACCCTCTGCGTAGTGGCACGACTTCCTGAGAACACTCTACTGACCTGTCTGTGACTCCAACTTGAGTCGATGAGTCAGATTTAAAAGCACTCTTTGCCAGTTTTACAATATGTTAACATTATTGTGGTAGGGAAACGACATATTGAAACAAACTCAGTTTGAATGGGAATTTGGCTGTGTGAGGTGAATACGATCAATTGAAAACCGAAATGAAAAATAAGATCAATTAGTTACGCAATGAAATAAAATAAATGGAACTACACTTCCAGTTAGTTTGTTTTATTACGATCGTGTCTATGCCAGAACATGTATTTTGAACCGCTTCATTTGTTGTTCATCAAATACAGTGTAAAAAGATCGCTGCCAAAGTAAGACATAATGTTTTTTATTTCATAACATTTGTCCAATGTACAGGGAAGTATGACTATGATGTGGTCGTTATTGGCGGTGGTTCTGGAGGGCTTGCCTGTTCCAAGGAAGGTGAGTTCTGAAATGGTCCCACCTGCTTTGCCCATTTCATTCTGTCGAATAGGATGCAACTACAAATTAGTTGCATCCATGTGTGCTGTTTCCAACAGCTGCACAGCTTGGACAGAAAGTTGCTGTTCTGGATTATGTAGAGCCCTCTTTGAAAGGTGAGTCTTTATTCATAAAAACCTCACTAGTAATTTCATAACTTGTAATTTTTTTAATACAAAGTATTCCAGGACATCCAATTCATATGTGTTATACTTCTCCACACAGGCACCAAGTGGGGCCTTGGTGGCACGTGCGTTAATGTTGGCTGCATCCCGAAGAAACTAATGCACCAGGCAGCCCTCCTTGGAACTGCAGTCAGAGATGCACAAAAGTATGGTTGGCAGCTCTCAGGACCAATTTCCCATGATTGGTAAGGTCTGAATGTTTCACCGTGCTTGGTTTTGTTTAGCAAGCTCATCTCGGTGTATTTGGTTTAGTAATGCACAAACATTAGGTCTTACAGAGCTTCTCAAGGTGTGGATTGCAATCTCTAGCGGGTTAGGGTTGTGGGGGTGAACTGTGGCAGGGCGGACCAAGTAACTGGGAAAGCTAGATATAGAATCTTCAATAATTGGGTCAAAGTTCAGACAATCACCAACACAGTAGGAACTGCTAAGAAGTAAAGTTTCCAAGGACCACTGTGTCGTGAAATACACTAATTAAGGCTTGATTCGACATGTGTCATACAAGATCATAAATGACTAAACAGCACCATCTAGTGAAATTATTGAAATAGTGCACAACATTGGGTTTATGTTCGTTAATTTACCCCATCGCAGGGCTTCCCCCTTGGGATGAGTGCAGCAAAATTAAACAAACTACATAAAGCGTTCTTTAATTTGTCACTGAGAGTAGGATCTCTAAACAAGTTAGTGATGGAGACACAACGGACACGGTACACAAAAACGTTTAAAAATCACTGATATTTGCTTGAGGGGAACTGAACACAGATGATCTTACTGGAAAATGATAACCACTGATTTGTTGCTGAACAAATGTCCATTTGTCAATTAGCTTATTGAGGTCAAACATTCCGGATAGTTACTTCTAATTATTATCAAAACGCCATTTGGACTTGTAGAAACTGGGCCACTTTCCTGTTGTGTGGGGCTTTATTTGTCATGTGTTGTGCAGGCTGGGAAGAAGAGCAATGATTCAATCTTCGAAAATGATTGGGTTAAGTACGCCTTGACAATGCTCTTCCAGAAACCGCTCTCCTCACTTTGATATTAGCATCAGTTATTGCAAATTAACATATTTCTTCTTGGTCTTGAATTTCTCTGATGGATGCCGAATACATCTATCAGAGACGTGCCACCGCCAAGCTTGAAGCTCTAGCACTGTAATCCTATCATAATGTATTTTCTACCCTGTAAGTAAGCACATTATAATAACATTAATAATGTTGCGTGTGTGTGTGTGTGTGTGTGTGTGTGTGTGTGTGCGTGTGCGTGTGTGTGCGTGCGTGCGCTGCAGGATCACCATGGCTGAGGCCGTTCAAAACCACGTCAGGTCTTTGAACTGGGGTCACCGGGTCCAGCTCCAGGACAAGTCAGTGGCATATAATTATCTCGAGTTGTTTTTGATCCAAACACAACTTATTTTGATTTATAATCGTTTTAACTACTTTCACATAAACCTTTAAGATGATGTAGTTTTTTCACTGCTTTTACCCAGCACACTTTCCTGTGTTAAGACACCCATGTGCTGGTTTGTAGACTTCGACACATGACTTTTGCTGGCTTCTGATGTAGTATCAGAGGTTCAACAGAAAGCAGGCAGCACCTCTGTGCAAAGGTACAGTTGAAAGTCGCGATGGGAGTATGAAGTTTAACAACCAAGCTTGTCCTGTTGGTCAAACCAATTCTTGCTGCCCCTGATGTTACTGTTGCCAAACATCTAATTATATTAATTCACCGTAGCTGTACAAACGCACTCTATGGGCACGGCAACATCCGCTTTGGTGGCTTTTGTCACTGAAGGTGACGTTCCAGTTGCTACTTGATGCTTATTACAATTAGATGTTAATTATAATATTACACGTCTAGTACATTGATATCAACTTACTGCTGTCTTGTTTATTACTGCTGGTCAGGATGGTTCTGTGCTTGACGTGTTTGTCTACTCGTCATAGACCACGTGTGAATAATGTGCATTGCATAAAGTTAAACTAACTAAAATCCTTTTCTTATATCGTGAGTGCATAATGTTTATCACAGTGCCACGATGTGTATTGTGACTGATTGTTGGTGTAGCGGTATTTTGACACCGAGCGGTAGTTCTGCCGGACACATTGAATTTATGAATGGCGAGCTTGATTCAAATACATATCAAGATGCAGAGTGAATGACACGGACTCTTAGTTCAATCATTTTTCGTTGACATAAGCTCAACAAGGTTTGATTGTTTGTCTTGCAGGAAGGTGAAATATCTGAACATGAGAGGTAGCCTTGTGGATGAACACACAGTCAAAGCAGTGACAAAAGCTGGGAAAGAGGTGGGCTGGTAATTCCCAAGAAATACATTTAGTTGATACAGTAAATTAAAATACTGAACCTTTTGAAGAAATCTCGTGGGTTAGTTTTTAAACGCAGATTATATTTCCACCCACTGGGAGCGATAAAGCTAACACTTTTGCTGAATAGTTTTAGTGTAAAATGCCTGAGAGACTACTTGCCTCAATTTGACATTTCCTTGTTTTTCGAAGGATATGACCATGACTCTGTTCCTTCGTATTTTTTATCTCCTCTCATGCAGATGACCCTGACTGCCAAGAACATTGTTATTGCTACAGGTGGCCGTCCCAAAATCCCCACAAATGTTGGTATCAGTTGATTAGTTATTATAGTTTGTTAGTAGCATTGTACAATATTGTGAATGATTGTTTACCTCTTCCTCATTTTTTTTGCATGACAGTCACTTTTACAATAGTTTCCATCATCAAACAAATCTTGATCTTAAACATAAAAGTGGAGAAACTATGCAAAAAAAAAAAAAAAACAGAAGGGCGGCAAATACTTTTTCATGAAAATGCAATTTGCATGTGATTTAAAAATAACCCTGAACTATTGAAATTGTGTATTGTACATGTATGTTTACTTGCTTTATTGTGACAGCAGCACACTCAACAAGCTTTAAACGGGACATATTATGGAAATTTGACTTTTATAATGAGTATTCTGGAAAGCCTGCCCTCCCTTATAGTGGCAAAACAAGGAGATCTGAAAAGTGAGTGAATCTCTTTACAGTCATAATGCTTTTATTCCAGATTCCAGGAGCAATGGAACATGGTATCACCAGTGATGACGTATTCTGGTTGAAAGAGTCGCCTCGAAAAACGTGAGCATCTTTTCTCTCCAACTCCAAAAGCAGTCTGTACAACGCCCTCCATAATCATTGGCACCCCTGGTTAAGATGTTGTTTTTTAGCTTCTAATGAATCAGTTTTTGTTGTAAATAATACAGGACCAAGATGAACCGAAAACTCCAACCTTTAATTCAAGTGCATTTTATTCAGGAGGGAAAGAAATCACACATGTAATAATAAATCATACATTTACATCAAATCATATGTTCCACAATTCTTAGCACCCCTGACATTAATGCTTTTTATAACCCCCCTTTTGCCAACAAAACAGCACCTATGCTTGTATAATGTTTCACAAGATGAAAGAATACAGAAAGAGGGACGTTCAAGCATTTCTCTTTGCACAGTCTCTACAAATCCTCCAGCAACTTCCATCCTCTCCTCTGAACTCTCTTTCGCCCCTTCCACGGGTTTTTAATGGGGTTGAGATCTAGGCCCCTGAGATGGCCATGGGATGACCTTTATTCTGTCAGGTGAAAACTTTCTGCATTTTTTTTTAGTACGAGAGTATGCTTCTGCAAAAAAAAAGAAAAAAAATGAATTCATTTTAAGGTTTTTAACACACCTTGACAAGGGGAGCCAATAATAATGGAGGGCACTGTATTTAATTCCACAAATTACAACACAGTCAACACATCATTTTTTTTTATCGTGTACAGTATATTATTTGAACCTAGTTTTAAATATACAGTACACCGGTGTGAATCTATATATTCTTTTTATTATAAGAAGACCATTGAAAATCAAAAATGGGTTTTGAATTGTGGTTCAAGATTGTTTTTAAAAATATATTCTTGAAACCGGTTGGAAAAAAATGGGCCCCCCAAGAAAAGATTGAAAATAAGTTGGCCATAGGGAGATGTTCAGTCAAGGTGTGTATTCTAATTATGACAGGTGTCTTCAAACATATAAGCAGTCAGTCGGCCTCTTTAAAACATGACGAGTATGGGTGTGCTGTTATTGTTATTGTGTGTACCACACAGAACACGGACCAGATAAAGTACAAGAGAGAGTTGTCTCAGGAGGTAACAAAAGAAAATTGTAGGCGAGTATGTTAAAGGTAAAGGCTACAAGACCATCTCCAAGCAGTGTGATGTTCTTGTGAGTACCATAGTAAATATTCTTCAAAAATGTAGATGTGCCGCAGGAGGAAAATAGATGAAACATTGAAGCAATGGATAATATGAATGACAATACACAAGCCCAGAACAGCCCCAAAAGAAATTAAAGGTGAATTCCAAGTTCAAGGTACGTGAGTGTCACAATGCGCCATCTGCCGTTGTTTGAACCAACGTGGATTTTATGAGAGATGACCAGGGAGGGTACCACTGTTGAAAGTAAATCTCTGATTCAGGAAGAGCATTGTGGTTTTTGTGCTGGCTATGTAACCATGGACCCGCTCTACACCCTCGGCAGGGTCCGATCAGTTGCATGGGAATTCATCCATCCAGTCTACATGGGCTTAGTGGGCTTGTAAGAAAACGTGTCACTGTGCGCCACCACCTCCCAATCCGCACCCCAGTGGTGGGAGATGCGGGAGCACGGGGTACCGGACACCCTAATGCGGACTGTTGTCACCCTTTATGACCGGTATGAGAATTTTGTCCACATCGCTGGCTGTAAGTCAAATTTATTTCCAATGAGTGTTGAACTCTGTCCAGGCTGCCTTTGGTTACCAATTTTGTTTGGAACATTGTAATTCAAATAGTTTTCTTTTTTTGTTGTTGTTGTTTGTTTGTCTTTTTTAACAGAGCCGGACCAACAATTTCATCCACATATTTTTATTCCTAAATTTGTACTTGAAAACAAAAACAATCACATTCGGGATAATTTGCTGGATGGACTGCCACTCTGTCACGTACCGTTACCATTCATCACTGACAAAGGGTTTTTTTCTCTCTTCCTGTAAAACTGTCTTCACCTTTGCAATTCAGATTAGTAGCATGTATCATGCCTTACACCGAGCAAGCCCTTTAATCCAACAATTTAGCTCTTGTCATCACCTGGTTAATTGGTCGATCTCAGACGTTTCCTCTTGGCAAAGCACACAGACAGTGACTAGTGGTTGTAGTGTACCTGGGTCCTGCTGCTTGTTTGCTTCATGGTGACAGATACCGTCACGGTAGCCGCTGAAGACTTTTCCGTGCCTTCGAAAAATCTTATAATGCTTTCGGAGTTTGTTTTGGGGCACTATCTTTTTGTGTGTAAACTCCCCATACATAATGAAATACAACTTTCACCTTTTGATGTTTTGTATATGCAAAGGTGTTTGTCACTACTGCGGGCTATTATAAATTTGACATTTCCTAAAAGATCCATTGATTCCAGTGTGATGTGCTTCATAGTCATAGATCCTTTTTACTATTACCTCCAGTAAGTTTAGTTATGGTGCAATGTGTTATTAAATGTGTGGACTGTTACCAGTCTTATGGAATTACCAGTGGAGCATTCAAGTTTCATAAACTTCATGTATGAACCCAAATCAACCACTTGGAAATGCCACTTTGAGCTCAGGAAGTCCTTTCACGGTATGCTATGATTGATCTCTACCACCCTCGGGTTAGAAAGGGGAAGCAATAGCTTTCTTTCTTTCTTTTTTCTTTTTTTTTTTTTAAACGCCACACAGGCTACTAACAGGATGTTGTTTTGCTGCAGAGCTGTCGTGTGTGTGTGGGTGAGGTCAGACAGGCGCTTTCTGGAGGGAGAGATAGCGGGGCTGTTTGGGGGTGGGGGGAGCAGGTGAGTGATCTCTGTCTAATGGGCCGAGGAGCACATTACACACCTGAGTGACATATCTTGGCCTGAAGCCGGGAAGGGGGGAAAACACTAAGCGCGTGGCAGTAAGACTGTTAATGTGCTATGAAAACTTACCTGGACTCCAGAGAATTACATTGACTTGCAAACATGCAAGAAACAGCATCCTGGCATTATTATTGGCCGTTCATGGGAACATGTTTTTGTAGCAATTGACCGACACGTGGTCTCATGTTTGACAATGCTCTTAACAGAGATGTACTGTCCTCTAAATACGTGTTCTTTATTTCCACGAATATGGAGTCCTTTGCTTGTATAAAGGACATTTATCGGAATGTTTACACAAGTAACGTTGCCCTTTTTTTTTTTTTTTTGCCAATTTTGAATCACGTGTTCTTTATTTCCACGAATATGGAGTCCTTTGCACATTTATAGGAATGTTTACACAAGTAACATTGCCCTTTTTTTTTGTTGCCAATTTTGAATCCTTAGATTTAAAAAACTGCTTCATAGAAGTCATTTGGTGCAGTGCTTTCTTTCTAAAGTTTGAATGGCATTGAACGGAGAAAGTATCCAAATTTATGTTGATTAGTATTGAGGCTCGTGAAACTCAACTTCCTGAAACTCAAAACATGAATGTTGCAGATAGTTGTGTCCTTGGCTTCTGTAGTAGGAAATAGATTGTATTTAATTGTTTTGAGTCACTTCTACAGTATGTTTGAAACAAATTGTGACCAAAATTTAAGTTCACCAATTCAGCAAACAAATCTTACTCTCTAATGAGCTTCCATGGCAAACACAAATGCCAGTTACAATGAATGGCAACATTATGGGTCTATGTAATGGATTCTATAACCTGTGTAAATCATTCCCTTAGTTTTTGATTAAGCTGATACATATTGACAGGATTTCTCCTTTGTGAAAATTTGCAGGTTTGGGCTAAGAATAAATAAATAGATAAATCTGATTGGAATTCTCTGTCTGTTTATATTGGCTGCCAGTGCAATTAAGTGGGATGAGTGTCCCTCAGACCTGACTGTATGCATCACAACCATCGAAAAGAATCTCCTAGTTGACCAACTGTACAGTCTCCCAACCAAGTTGATAGAGAATCAGACAGAATTGGAACAAAATCAACCGGGTTGGCGCAATGACAGTTTTTTTTACGAATGAAAGTGTATAATCAAGATAAAGCTCTTAGCCTCATCATCTTTAAGCCACTCACAATATGTGATAAGTGCACCTAGGCATTGTACAGACATGAGACATTGAGGCTTTTAGAGGTTAATCTTAGCGTGGACAAGGACAGGATTTGCTGCAGGCACTCTCAACTGTCAAGTATATGCAGTCCAAAGGAAGGAGCTCTGGTATAAACAAGTGAGAGCAGGGCCTCCTGTTTGCAGGTGATGGCCTTCACTCAGCAGGCTCGTATGTGGACTTGAGCTCTGAACATGGCACTCCCCATCCACAGGGATTACTTTAAATGGTAGCAATTTGGCCTCCTACCTGCCATGGATTTTAGGGTTGGATTAGATGTGCTATTTACTTGGACCACACACTAACCACATTAGACATGGTACACCCGCATAATCCAATACAGTGCTCACACTGGGGTGTCACATCTATCTATCTATCTATCTATCTATCTATCTATCTATCTATATGTGTGTGTGTTGTGTGTATACATTATTAGCATTATTATGTGTCTTATTGTTCGGTATGTATTTTTTTTATTTTTTTATGTCATACTTATGTACACCATTGCCGGTGTACTCTGTGCTGTTTCCAATTACCGGTAATCTAAAACTAAATCAGCTTTATGAAATTAAAATGAATAGATAATCCATTGTTCATTGTACAGCATGACTGTCATATGAACGTGTACTTAAAACGTCATAATAATTACAGTATGCTGAATAGTCCTTTTCATTTGTTTTGTACAGGCTTGTGGTTGGAGCGAGCTGTATCCTTTTCTGCCAACCGATGTTGCATGTAAATAATCACTTCTTGTTTGTTAAGAAATTGTGCAGTTATAAACTTACATTTACCACTTGGCATCAGTTCAGTGTTGCATAAATAACATGTAGTATTTGTTTTTAATGTCAGTGTGCCATGTGGGAGAGCCTTTTAGTATTTTTTACAATGTAAAACACATCTGCTTCCCATATGTGAAACTTCTGGACAATAACCAACATGACATTTTTCCAAAAACAGTTGACCACTGAGTGCTGTTACGTTTGCTACTGTTCGACTACGTTTTTTAGGCTGTCACCATAAAATACATGGATAATAGACTGTATGATTTCGCAACACTTCTGGTATTACTTGACGTGCATGACAAACACTGCAGTTCCCTAACCTACTGCTTAGATGTAGCTCTGGAGTGCGGCGGCTTCCTTACCGGCATCGGCTTGGACACCACAGTGATGGTTCGCAGCATCGCCCTTCGGGGTTTTGATCAGGTATTGTCCTCTGTAGCATAGATTAAAGTCATGATGGAAACTCATGTGTTTTTTACGATTTCACCTTTTTTGGCTTCAACAGCAAATGGCAGGATTAGTGACAGACTACATGGAGTCTTATGGAACCAAATTTGCATTGAGGTGTATCCCCAAGAGAGTAGACAAACTTCCATCAGGTGACCTGAAAGTGACCTGGAATGATGCCCTGACAGGCAACGAACACAATGGCACCTATAACACTGTGTTATGGGCAGTTGGTGAGTATGTTATTGTATGCAAGTGTGTGGAACAGCTCAGTATGAGCAGGGATGGGCTACTTAAATGCTGGAAAGGCCACGGTTTTTCATCAGGGCTAGTGCATAACACAGCCACTATTCTAACCCAAAAACAAAAGGTTTGAAGCAAACAGCAAATCAACCACATACCTCCCAAAAAATAAGTCAGTGCATAATAATTGCCATTCAAGGACAGCGCAAAACTGCTGAACAAGAGATAATTTTGTACGTTTTTCACAGAAATCAACTCCCTCAAAATTTCATATTATTTAGGTACCATGTTTGTCTTGCATATCATTCCAAATCCACAAAAAAATATTTGGATTACTCACATTGCAATATAGGGCCATATAAAATCCACTGGAAGCTCAACTAAGACATGTCTGCCATCTAGTGGCGATATTAAAACTTAAACAACACTCAACCCCCCCTGCACATTTGGAGTTGTGCATCTGCAGTCTTCTCAATTTCTCCCCTTTTTTTGTGGAAGACGTAGATTGAATGTTTATCAGCTGTTTTTCAAAGAATGGTTCAGTTTCGTTCAAAAAGAAAAAAGGAAATAAAAAAAGATTTTTTAAATTAAGTAGTTTAGGGGACACTCGGAGTGTGGTCATTCCTGTAAATGTTTTGCAGCCAGGGGTCAAGCTGTATTAAATTATGTCGATCACCTGATACCGGTACCTTATAACAACACACTGATTGATGACAAAATTAGGCCAATTTACAGAAGCTGATGAAATACAAGAGCTATAGTATACATTCACTATTTGCCAAGACAAGAATGTATGCTCACTTTTGATCAACACCATCAGAGAGATATTAATTGAACTGCCCCAAAATAAAATGAAATCAGGAGGAAAATGGCATTCAAAATATCTAGCACTAAAGCTTATTTCAAGGAATCTACACTGTTTTGTGTACATTGTAATGTAGTGTAATGTGCAGTGTTGTTTACGTCCATGCTTCTCTATCGGTGCCGTAAATTCCTAATGCAGTAACGTTGATGAGTGACCTTCGTTCAATGTAAGTGCGGCAAATTAATACTTTTGAAGCACATGGGTTGACCATCTGTCTTAGATCTACAGTACTCTTAAGTTGCGAACTAATTTTTCCATTTGACATGTTAACTGTTTTACCTGATTGTGATTTCAGTGCGATGCAGAGGGTCGGTGCTGGCTAAAAACACCGGAGCTCGCACAGTCAGGGTTTTCTAACATATTTACTACTGATATTGAGCAGTTGTGTATCCATATTCATATTGATAATTTATAATCCCCCAGTCCTTTAGTTTGACCATATCTTGACGTTGTAGTGTGTTCATTTAAATCAACGTATGAGTAATTAAGTATGTGCAAATTATTTTACATTATTCTGGGTTTATTTACAGTTTCCACAACATCCCAACTTCATTGGAAATGGGGATGGTAGACCTGCACAACATCATACCCGAGGGCTGTAGCGAATGTTTTCATTATCTCACTTACCGTAGTTACAAGAGGTGATGATTATGCAGTGTTGACCACAGCCAACCACAACCTTGATCTTAATACCTGAATACGTTTAGAAACAGAGTAGAAAAATATGTTTAGTGTCATAATTGGACCTGCACCTAATATCTGTCTAGCATTGGAATAACACCACCAGCAAGCTATTGTTTTTCTGTGATATACTAGGGGATCTGTCAAAAACAGTGCTGATTTGCCTGCCCTCTCCCAGCCGTAATCCAAGTTCATTGTCATCCTCAATACGAGTGCAGTGTCAGCAAATGACAGTGGAATCCAAACTGAAAACAAACTAATAAAATTTGTGTGATGGAATAACCAGGGGAAGCGTTAATCACCCTGCAATGGCTCACTGGCTGTCTGGTCGGAGAGGGGCAGAACCAGGCAGGATGCACCAAGGTACAGGGTCACTTTATTCCCCTCTTTGTTCTCTTCTCCGGATCATCCTGTCTGTGCCAACCCAGAGGAAACCTATTGGCATCTGTCTCTGCCATCCCTCCCCATGGACTTTTACACCTCAGAGCTACCGGCCATTCTACTCTGCTTCTATATCTATTTTATAATCAACTACTTTACATATCCCAACCTGCCAGTCTAAAAATCAACAACAGACACTGATGATATTAGGGCCAACCATTTTATCTGTGTGGAAAGCCTTTAAATTATCCACGTGTCTCATGAGTTCCGTCTTTATTAGGTCATGAGTATGTTTTTATGTGTGTGATGAGAGAGCGCTTTGCCCATAGGCGTGTGACAGTAACAAGGATGTGCGTGACCTTGCAACCGCAATGACGTTTGCCATTTCCTCTTGTGGCCCAATTCCCACATCATCTCAGCGTGTGACTGTTGGTGTGAGGGATATTTGCATTGAATACTGGAAATGGTGTGTATGGTCACATGCGTGAGATGCGGTGACCTTTATATTTCCTTTTTGCTTTTGAATTGTTTAAATGTAGCTAAGTGCACGACAGTTTATGGTCCAATAAACAGTCGAGCAGACAACTTAAGTGTCCCAAAGTGCACTCAGCTTCTGTATAATTTAGACTCTTGTATATTTTTTGGGCAACTTAATATGCGGCCTTATACCATAGCAGTGAAATGTTCTGACCATATCGACACACACACGCGCACACACACACGGACAAAAGTTGATTCACTTCTTAACCACCCAGATACTGTGGGGCCTCCATAGTCCAATGCCCTTGAAGTTGTAGAACAACAACAGTTTTTCTCCAAAGTTTCTGAAAGATAGGCCTCACAAGTTGCACAAAACATTTGATGCCATTACATCACATTTCAGCAGATTGGTATGTAAAGATCTCACGATAAACTCCAGAAGTCTCTTTTTCTTCTTTCGTTGGCTTTTGTTGTGATGACATCCCTGAAGGACACTGGAGGGGTGGGGCTAAGTTGAAAAGTGAATTGGAGCCTATGATCACATAGGCAAGCGGTGCACTCGCCACATCCAGAGGAACATGCAGCAAAATAAATACGCAGAGCATATTTATCAAATTCTTGCAGAATGGAGATGATTCTCCCAATAGAAGACGCTGTGTGCAAATACCCAGCTGGCTCTGTGCTTTATCCGCATTGTATCTCACTTGAGGTGAAATAAGAGGGTGGCTGTGACCGAGTGTTTAGGATCATCGCCTGCCATTGTGGAAGAAGCTTGAGAGGGTATGAGGATGTACCATCCACCCCCGACAACTACACACCCATAATACGCAGAGCATATTTATCAAATTCTTGCAGAATGGAGATGACTCTCCCAATAGAAGATGCTGTGTGCAAATACACAGCTGGCTCTGTGCTTTATCCCCATTGTATCTCACTTGAGGTGAAATAAGAGGGCTGCTGTGGCTGAGTGTTTAGGATCATCTTCTGCCGTTGTGGAAGAAGCTTGAGAGGGTATGAGGATGTACCATCCACCCCCTACAACTCCACACGAATGAAAGGGATGTCCTTCAGCAAGACACCAAAACCCCAAACTATGAAGTATGCACGCAGTGTGTGAATTTCAACATTTTGTAGTAGTTCTTCCCAGAACAGCGGAAGCTGCTACAATTGTAAAAGAGAGACCAACTCCATATTTCCTTCCATTTTATCCCCCTGAAGTTGGAACGTGTCCCAATACTTTTTGATTTAATGATTGAAGGTGAACTGCTGTATCTATGCTTTTGTTCACTCTTCTGATATAGTGAGAAAACGGAGCACAGCCTCGGGCCTTTGATGCCGGCATGCAGGACTCATGAGTATGAGGCCACTTCCGTTTACCTTACACTATAGAGGCCAGGCAGAGTTCGGGCCTCTTTGGGGTTATTAAAGGCCTGAGGGGTCCGAGGGACTGTATCACCACCAGTGTCTAACATCCTTCTCCCCAGCCATGCAACCCTCCACCTTTCCCCTGTTCCTTCCTGCATACATGGCCGCTCCCCTGTCCAGGTGCAATACACCAGGAAACAGAACATTTCCACTTCCTGTGGACAGGCAGACGATGGACGTGGCTTTTCCGCCTCAGTGCACACCACGATACGCCGGAATATTATTCAAAGTCAAACCCTATGTCGGTGGTAGGCAACTTAAGTGATGGAGAGAGGCACAATTTCATCAGTGCAAACTGGAGTGTTATAGAGGATCACACACATTTCCTAACCAGTTTGACGGTAAAAATGTCAATTTAAATATGGACAAAGTATTTACATTCGTGCAAAATCTGTGTTCTTAATATATTTCATTTTTGGTAATACGTTTCAGTACATGTACAAAATTTATTCCGGCCCACAAATAAAAGTCTTTGAATAAATACCATTAAAATGCATTGGGAAAATTCTGACGACTGGGGGTGGGGGAATAATAAAATACAATTTGTAAATTCCCAAATTATTTTAAAAAAACACGCTCATAAACCTCAAATATGCATTTTACACAATTTTTGTCATGTGGAGTTTGAACAGATTATATTATTAAAAATGACAATAAAAATGTTTTTTAAATCATTGCTAGCTAGTTGAGCTTTGAAAAATAAAATTACTGTACTGTAAACCATACATCATCATCATCATTTTCTTATTTGTGTGGGAGCTGAGAACTAATAATGTCATTCACAAAGTTGCCTTACAAATCCATTGAAATTCAATTCATGCAAAAGAAATAGCATTGAATCTGTTGTTGGACTAAACCCAGGCACCTCTTTCTTTGGCAGCTAATGAGTCGTGTGCTGTGCTTGAACAAACTTTGCCACAAGCTAAAATTATTAAACTAATTTTCTTAGCTTGAATGTTTCTTTTGCTGCTTTGGATAATGTCTTAGTGCACTTAAAAAAAAAAAACAGGGAGTGGGGGAGACCTCCCTGTCAATTCACAAACAAAATGTATCAACACACACACAATAGCTTTTTGCACATGATATGCAGGCCATGCACTTCATACATGAGTCAGTGAGGTCTGAATTGTTCTGCATCTTAAAATCTTTTTTGGCCTGAACATTGAAATTTGTTTTTAGCATTCTGTAAAACCTGCTCCCCCCAAGAAAAACAACACCATATTTCCCATTTGTCTTTGTTCTTTGTTAATTGATCAGATAAGTGTTCATTTTTTATTTTTCTTGTGAAGGTTTATTATTGCTAATTAGCCTAGCCATCTGGAAGCTTCCTCAGAATGTCACAACAGGCATTGTTTCACTGTGTGTGTGTGTGTGTGTGTGTGTGTGTGTGTGTGTGTGTGTGTGTGTGTGTGTGTGTGTGGGTGTGTGCGTGTGCGCGTGTGCGTGTGTGCATGTGTGTCTGCGTGGGCATGTGTACTCCATCCAACCAAGTCCCTTATCAATGTTGTGTCCTTGGTCTACAATGCAGTCACTCTTGAGTGGAGTTACAGACAGGAAGGCCCTATATGGAATTAGATAGTCTTTACTAATTTATAGTGATTTAATATTTTTAGCATTTTCACTATGGATGACAAGAAAAATTGTGTCAATATTTCATCTTAAATGCATTAGAATCTTGTGGCAGATTAAAGACTTAACATTTGGGTTCTAGCAAGTTACTTGAATTACTTTAACACTTTAAAAATACAAAACAAAAATTTATATATGTATATATATTTAACAGCAAATTTTCAGTACTTTATATTTGGAGGAGTTCTTAAAATTGGAATTTACACATTGGGGAAAAATGTCTTGCTGCCTTCGTTGCCCTTTTTTCCCCCCCCCCTTCAGCCACCCATGTTGTGGAGTAGACAGGTCCCTGTTGTCCCTCCAGTCTGGGGGAAGACGTTGTTCTTTGGCTCCAGCCAGGAAAAGGATCTCAGGGGTTTGTTATTTTTGCTTTCCGATAGCATCTACATGTGTACCTCGGGCTCGGTGTTTATTATGCTGCCCTGACTAGTTTTGAGGAACTACGCTGAGGAGGAGGGTGGGGATTATGCAGTCAGTTCTCCACTGCCATGGAGATTCACACATGGAGTTATCAGCATCGGTTGCCTGCCCCCTATGAAGTGTCACAAATCACATCCTTGATTTGAGGATTGTGCTCTCTTTATTCTACCTTTACATCTAATCAATCACCATTATATTCCTCTACTCTAAGGTAAGAGTAAGGAGCAACATACAGGTAACCTTGTTTTGGTAATAATGCACCTTTGATAATTACTCTGTACACTTTTCATCCATCCATCCATTTTCCAATCCGCTTATCCTCACAAGGGTCGCGGGGGATGCTGTAGCGTATCCCAGCCGTCTTTGGGCAGTCGGCGGCAGACATCCTGAACCGTTTACCAGCCAATCGCAGGGCACACACATGAACAACCATCCACGCTCACTCTCACACCGTGGGACAATTTAGAGCATTCAAACACCCTGCCATGCATGTTTTTTTGGATTGTGGGAGGAAACCGGAGTACCTGGAGAAAACCCACACAGGCCTGGGGAGAACATGCAAACTACACACAGGGAAGCCGGAGCTGGAATTGAACCCGGTACCTCCGCACCGTGAGGTCAATGCGCTAACCGCTGGAGCACCGAGCCACCCTTTGTACACTTTTGATTTTTTTTTTTTCTTCTATTTAAATGCGATCCAATTTTGGTCGAGTAAATGAGGTGGACACATGTTTGGAGGGGGGGGGGGGGGTTATGCAACACTATCAAGATGTTTGCTTTAAAGCAGAATTGTCAGCAGTGTTCCTTGATCCCTCTCGCCATCCGACAATTTGAAATGAAAAATTGTTCATGTTTACTGCAGGTAGAGCTCCAGAAACGAAAGCTCTGGGTCTCAACAAACTTGGTGTGCAGCTCAACAAGGAGACTGGGAAAATAATTGTTGGGGTAGATGAATCGACATCTGTACCAAACATCTATGCTTTTGGGGATATAGGCCAGGTATGCATCTCCACCAAATCCTACACACAGATAGCAATGATAATGAGATTGTCCCACATTTATTTGATTGTGCTGTGTGTGTGTGTGTTTGTGTGTGTGTGTGTCTTCCTTTTTTTTTTAACTTGATTTGCGTGTCTGCTTGTTCTGAACATGGGTGTGATGCATTAAGTACATTTTCAACGCCGATTGGCTGTCGCTGATGCGACGCCACCAAGTGTTATCTTCAGAAAAAAAATCGGCTTTGAATGCTTCAAACGCGCAAACTGCATTCACTATGGATGGAAAAATACATGCATTTGGTCTGACCGTACCATATGTGTCCTTGAGGCTGATAAAAGACACCCGAGTTGTACCGTAAAACTAACAAGAGTTACTCACATATTTTATTAAAATGCAAAATACGCCTTGTTTTTACAACCGCTAGCGCTAATGCTAAAATCAATTGGCATACTAACGGCTTCGGGAGTGATATTCCTGGAAATAACAAATAAGCAATAAACATTGCGGAAATATAAACAAAGGCAAGATAACTCAATGGCACACATTTTTCTCATTCTGTGAAAACACGAGTTCTATGAATAGCGTTCAATCGCAGTCGCAACATAATTGTTTTATTAATTGTGATATCAGTCATAATCAAAACAATCGCGGTTGTTGTATTTCATAATCATCCAGCCCTACTGCTAGAGGACAAGAGGAAACAACAATATTAAAATCATGAAATAATAAATTAATGTGACTAAATGGGAGTGTTGCCCCTGAACTGTTTGTGTGCATGTACAGTATTCTATTCACCCTATAATTACTCAGCATGGGGCTGTGTAAGAGCATTTATTGTGCTGCTGCACTGTATTCAAGGTGCACAATGTAAATACTGGTTAGGTGTAGCTGCTGTCATGTCGGTGTGGCCTTTTTTTTTTTTTTTTCCAACACAAACAGCTGTGTGCTTCCTTCCTGTCCTGATGACACCCACACACATGACAGCTTGCTTTGATGAGCCATGCTTCACGCCAATCTGTCTGTCATCTTGTCAACACGGCAGAAGGCTTGTTTTGGTTTTGTTTTTTTTTTTGTTTTTTTCCTTCAAGCAGACGGTTTGATATCTTGCTCAAGTTGTCCACCGCATTTCTTGTTTTCATTTCTTCTCATTGCCAAACGAAGTGCCAAGAACTGCATTAAAATGACGAAAACTATCTGGTGTGGAAGCACTTGCACATCAGAGAGCACCACGTCCACATTTGCAGAGGTGCAGAAGATATTTGTGACAACAGGATGTGTTGTGGAAATGTAACAGGTCTTAAGTCATGCCTTTAAAATTGCCCCGCAGCCCTACTATTTCCTGCACCACTCAGATGTTTGCCTCAGTGCGTATCCATGTCTGTATTTTATTTGCTTTGGCTCACGTTCAGAACAATACGCCATTAACGTCGGAGAAGAGAAATTTGTATATGTCTGTGTTTGACAATTTACACAGGGAAGTTTCCTAGTACATTGAAGTAAGTCAGGCAGTCTTCTGTTTCAGGGGCGTCCTGAATTGACACCTACGGCTATTAAAGCAGGAAAACTCCTCGCCCGCAGACTTGCCGGCCACAGCACAGAGCTCATGAACTATGACAATGTGAGACAAAAAACGCAATGCACACCTGTCACCTTTTTTCTCCGCTAACACACTGTCATATATAATGACATCCATTGCAAAATTGGTACTCAAAAGACTGCCTTGACAAGATCATGCTTGTTTTGGGTTTTTTTTGTTGTTTTTTTTTTGTCAATTGACACTGTCTTAAGTTGTTGTGACTGTATTTTCCATTGAGCTCGAACTCTACTGCAACACACTGCAAGGTCTACATCAGGGATCACCAACATTTTGAAGATGAGATCTACTTCTTGGCTGTTGATTCGTGCGAAGGGTTCTAAGTTTAATGCACAATTGTTGTCAAATAACAAATTTGCTCAAATTACATTTCATCACGGTATTACTATTATTATGCTATCAGGGCTGGGAAAATAAATAGGCTAACTCTGTTAGCCTATTTATTCACTTTCCAGTTAGCTGACGACAAAAATTGGGTGACAGAAATTTCTGCCTTGAAATGGGGGGCGGTGCAATTACCTGAGTAATCGACGGCATATGCGATAGGATAAACAATTCTGAAACGATTCATGAGTGACACTGCTAGTTATTATTAATGACATTTATTGATGTGAAGACTGGAAACACTGATCATGTTCATGATTTCTCACAATGATTAGGAAACAGATAAATGCCAGTATGCAACACTTAGGTTCTATAAATCTCTTCCATTGTTTACATTTTCAAATTATCACTTACGTATTTAACATTACCACAAAATCACAATGCCCCATCACTTTTCTTGGAACAGGCCACTCATGTGATCCTTGAATAGTGAATAAACATGAGAAATTCACTTTCCATTTCTTATTGTAGGTTCCAACCACCGTATTTACTCCACTTGAATATGGCTGTGTGGGCCTATCTGAAGAGGAGGCTGAAACCAGGCATGGCAAAGACAACATAGAGGTAAGAACAGGATGGCATAAATGTTTTGGAATGCCCTCATTTTTCTCTTGTCTTTTTTCTCATTGCAAGTCAAGCATTTCAAGTCTTTGAAATGGTACAAAGTACGGTATTATACTGTTGGGCGAAAAAGGCACTGTTTCCAGACTTAAACCCAATCGAGCTGGTTTGGGATGAACTGCACAAAAATGTGAAAGCAAAGCAACCTACAAGTGCCACACATTTATGGGAACTTCTGCAACAGAGTAGGGAGAAACATTTCCATTGTAGAAAAAATCCCATTGTGGAGCTGTGGCCGAGTATCCATTCACCGTACTAAATTGTCCTTCGGTGTGAATGTGAGTGTGACCATTTGTTCTATATGTGCACTGCGGTTGCTGGTGCGCCACTTCTAGCGTAAAGTCAGCATGGGATTGGCTCCAGCAGACCCGTTACTTTGAGCGAGGATAAGTGCTCCAGAAAGTAGATGAATAGAAAAAAGCTGTGTGTGTTCACCAAATATATCTGCCTAATGCTAAGTTGGGGCGGCTGTGGCTTATTGGTAGAATGGTTCGTCTAGTTGGCAGTTTGAATCCCGGCTCTGAGTATCTTTTGTCCAAATGCCCTTGGGCAAAGGACTGATTCCTAATTGGCTTCCAGTGGGCCCGGTGTAGCACCTTGCTACCTCCCATTGGTCATTGGTGTTTGATTGTGTGGCTGAATGGGTGAATGGAAGCCTCTTTAAAAGCGCCTTGCACACTGTCAACGTGTCGGTAAAGCGATATATAATTGCACTCCATTTACCATTTGAAGGTGGTACTTTGAGTCAAAACTTTCTAATCCATGTTTTGTTCATAGACCGAGTCCATTATTATTTTGTGACTTGAGTTGTTTATTTGTGATATGTTTTTATTTCAGAGTACAATGACACATTGAACTGCTATTATTCCAGTTTTGTTTTGTTTTTTTAACAGGAAATGTGTGATGGTGTACATCTTGTGTACATCTTACAGTAAATGATGTTCTTAAAGAAAATTAGCAGCTCAAAATAAATTTTCACTTTGCTACGAGACAGTGTGCTTGTGTGCCCCGTTCAAATGGCAGGTTTTTGTGACCAAAATGAGACCAAGATAAATAATTTCAAAATTGTATCCACTATTGTATTATGACATAACCTGGACAACTCCATTTTTTTTTGTCTTTGTTTTTTATTGTTGATTGATCAATTTGTTTATGAGCTTCTAATGATGATGTCATATGATGTGGGGAATGAGTCAACTTGCTTTTCTCATCAAAGTCTTTGCTATGGTGAGAAAAACAAAACTTTGCTGTTCGATGACTATTTTACAGTTTTCTTATCCAGTTCTTTTGCACGAGAAGTTTAACTTAAGAGCGTGCAGCATCATCTCACTTGGCAGACTACTCAACAGAGCTTGATCACAATTATCCCAAACATGTATGAAAAATTAAGTAATGTAGGATTCGAAAAAACGTTTTTTTTGTGAACTTCTAAATTTGCATAAGAATTTGAAAGTCTGCATATTGTTCCAAGTTAGCCAATCATATTGTGCTGTCTTTAATACTGTAAATTTGATTAGATCTAAAAACCTGTCATACATGCACATGAAACACTTGTCAGGATTGTCAGTTGTTGCTTCCTTCAACCAAGATTTTAAAAAAAGGTGGTGGGGGGTGTTAATGTCTTCTAACCCCTAAAAACAATAGAAAAACAACCAACTGTGTGTTTTCTACGCTTGTGTACGTGAGCGGGTTGCCAGATGCTCGCCGACACCTGCGCAACACGGCGGATAAATGTTTTAGCCGGTAAGGTGGGGCTGTGGGCAATGAGTGACAGGCTAGCAAGAGGCCCGATTGAGGTGTGTGCGCGGTGATGACAGGCATGCTTAGATCTTAGGAGGAGCTGCTCCACTGGCCCCCACTACAGCTGCATGCTCCTTCAAACTTGTGTTGGCACGCTCGGCCATTGAATTAAACGCATTAAACACACATTGGCAGTCGCCAGATGGAAATCTGTCAAGGTAATGAGCTACTGGGATTTGTTTTCCAGTGTTATGCTTCTCTTTTCAGTGAGCTACAATCTTAACATCCCATTGTTAAGATTAAGATGCCTTTTAATGAATATATTTCATTTCTGTACCATCACAAAGTAAATCTTTCTGTTGCAATACAGTTTCCTTGCAGAACTTATGCAGTATTATTTTCACAAGCTGAGATCTCCATCGCGGAAACTTTTTTCCCCCGTCTCGACGAGTGAGGGAGACAAAAATGTGAATACATTGAAAAGGTGGTGATTTGTTTTGGAAAAAAGAAAAGGTGTGTGATGTACACCGATTATATTTTTGTTGTTTTGTTTTGGACTGGCAATTGTGACTGTCCTCATACTTAAACTGCACAACAACTGTTGTCCGCTAGGGTGTACAAATGGGCTATGAAAGGTCTTTGGGAACATGACATAAACCAAGAGATTAGATGTGTTGAACTTTATTTCAAGGGACCCCAGTTAAGGGTTGATTATTGTGCATAAATAGGTTCAGAACAAAGTTACAAATGCTTTACCCCATTATCTGTTATGAATATATGTCTGACAATTAGTTACTGCGTCCGGACACCATGCATAGGATTGATTGGCAGTGTCACAGATGCTAAAATTTTCCCTACAATGGCAGCGAGTCCCTCCCAGGGACTCGCTGATCAGAAAAGTATGAGTCCCATTATGCATTTAGAGAGTCCCAAATTTCGAATTCTGAAATGGTCTACTTATTCAATTGCATATGATAATAACACAAACAACACCATATACATGCAATTATAAACAAATGCTGCAAAAATTTAAATAATTCAGGAGCAGGCCTGAGGATTTCGGAAAGTCACAGTAACCGTTTTTCGGTTCCGTCGGATTACCCAATGGGAAACCACGGTAACTATGACTGGTCTGTGGTCTTACTGTCAGAATCAATTTCTGTCATTATCATGTTGATGTGTGACATTTACAATAAATCTGGTTGAGAAGAGGTCTCTCTCTCTGTCTCTGTCTCACGCTTTCTCTCTCTCTCTCTCTCTCTCTCTCTCTCTGTGTGTGTGTGTGTGTGTGTGTGTGTGTGTGTGTGAGAAAAAGGGATGGAGTGATGTTTATGTGTGCCCATGTGTATGATGTGGCTCTTTGCAGAAACACAGTAAAAAAAAATTGCTCTTAGTCTCTGACTGGTTGGCCACCCCTGGGTAAGCCCGTCTACCTCACAGTTCAGGGGGACAGAGTTCGATTCATGCTTCCAGCTTTCCTGTGTGGAGTTTGCATGTTCTCCCTGTGCCTGCATGGGTTTTCTCCGGGAACTCCAGTTTCCTCCCACATTCCAAAAACATGCGTGGCAGGTTAATGGAACACGCTAAACTGTCCCTAGATGTGAGTGTGAGAATGGATGGTTGTTCGTCTATGTATGCCCTGCGATTGGCTGGCAACCAGTTCAGGGTGTCCCCCGCCTACTGCCCGAAGACAGCTGGGATAGCACGCCCGCGACCCTCGTGAGGACGAATCAAGAGAATGGATGGATGTATGGATGGATGATGTCATAACAATCTGCAAACACAGCATGTTGAAGATGAGACATTTGATGATTCACCTGCTCTTTGTTTATACGTCTCTGCAGGTATACCATGCCTTCTACAAGCCTCTGGAATTCACTGTGGCAGAGCGTGATGCTAGCCAGTGTTACTTAAAGGTAGACTTCTTCTTCTCCTTTCGGCACGTCCCTATTAAATGTTCACTTAAGAATTCACTGTGGCAGAGCGTGATGCTAGCCAGTGTTACTTAAAGGTAGACTTAAACTGCACAAAACTGCTGTGAAAAGGAAAATGTTCACTTAGCTCAGCAAGGATTTCATCATCACAACTTCAAGACAGCTTCGAGAATTCTTCCATCACATCCTAATAGCTTGTTACAACCACTCACATAAATGTGCCCTTGACAAGCTCTGTCGTATCAGGTGATATGCCAGCGGCATGGAGACCAGAAGATACTGGGTCTGCACTTCACTGGACCAAATGCCGGAGAAGTTACACAGGGCTTTGCCATGGGCCTCCGGTGAGTTACTATTATACTATGACTCGTAGAATGTAACATCTTAGCCAAATTAAATCAATAACTTAATGTCTGTGTTTGTTACTGTAGGTGTGGTGCCACATATTCACACCTGTTGGGTACGGTAGGAATCCACCCGACCTCCGCTGAGGAGCTAACCAAGGTCAACATCACAAAACGTTCAGGATTGGATGCCACAGTCACTGGCTGCTGAGGTTAAAGCCCCGGTCTCTGAACACTTAAGCACACAGGGTAGAAAATAGGTTGGGTCCAAATGCTAATTCTGGTTTAGCCCGCTAATTCTTGTCACTCCATTTCCTCTCCACAACCATCTAAATCTGGTTTTTGGCATGACAGTCACTCACTATTGGTGGTCAACTATTATTGGATTTGATTTCTTTTTTTCAGCAAAAGTTAGAATTTTTGCGAGTTGAATCAGTAAGTTGTCATGGAGCAAAGTCTCCCAATCAGGTTTGTGAAAGCCTCGGCTGCAGAGAGCGTTTTGAAAGAAAGGCTCATAAATCAGGGTGAAACCCTGTTCTCAGAGTGTCATTGAAATTATGCAAGAAACACAGAGCAGGTTGTAACATTTTTCTGAAAATATATTCTACAAATATTGTTGTTTCTGTGGCTATACTTCCTGTCCATTAGTCTTTAAGGTGACACATACCATAACCCCCCTACACTCCGCCCTCAATGACACTGATGGATGGCCCCTGGGCCGTCGTCGCAACGACACCGCCCCATTTCCCATGGACAGACACAAACAGTTGTTGGGCATTTGGTCAGACATTCTGGAAAGACTTGACCAGGGAGACGGACCTCTCCGATGGTGTCAAAACCTCGCCTTGTCCTACCAAACTCTCTGAAGCAACATAAAACAATACAGTAGAATGATAAACTTCTGTAGGCCAAGCACGCAGCACTCGATGGGGCATCACTGCACAAGTAGCTCTGCAGGAGCCGCAGTACTCAGTGTTGCCCAACGGTGGGTCTATTGCCTGCTCATTTTCCTCTTGAGTGGAGTGGAAAAGAGAGGATAAAGTTGTCACCAGACAAAACCTAAGCTCCGATACATTTGTCTCGTAGATTTAATTCCCTTAATCCCCACAAGTGATATGCTTTTTGTTGAAGTTGGAGAGTAGAGTGGATTGATTGCTGCACCAATTGCTCAGCCTTATCTCTCGTGTATTTACATGGATGGGAGGTTAACGCTCAGTAGTCATCACCCTCTGAGATAAGCTAAGTTGTTTATATCAATAGCCGTAATAGCAGATAAAAGTGCCCAAATGTTTAACCTGCTGACTGAACTGGACATCCTCAACACAGCTTATTAGGCAGAAGGTGAGGAGAGCCAGAACTGGGTCGCTACACAAATTTGAGGACCGAAATGGTGGGTGTCGTTTATTTTTGATCTGCCTGGTCTGATTAATGATTCCGATGAGGGGAGTGACAGCGTGCCTGGCGATGGAAAAAAGAGAGAGCAGGCTACCAGGTTTATTTGGACCTGGCCTGGGAGAGTACGGGCTGATTTTCAGCTGGGTTGGGGAAGGATCGGGTGG